CTCCGGTTGTTGAAGAACAGAAGCTTGGGGATTGTTATCTGGTTCAAGCTCTTCACCTCGAGGACCATTTTCAATGGGTTGCATGTCAGCACAACATCAGAATCACGAAGGCTAACTTCAGTGGTAGGTGCTGGCTGGGTAGCATTGGTTCTTGGAACATAGGACATTCTCGGTGACGGGTTGACACCAGGTTCCTTATTTGCTACTTTGCATTCGTCACGGGCATGACCTTGTGCAATGCGTGCAGAACTTAGGTATTCCAAAATCAACGATTTCTTGCTAGTGATCCATACATACATAGTTGATCAAATCAAAACACGATTTGGGAGGTTTTCCTTGATAAGATCGATTTCTACATAAACCCTAGCTTTATTGTGAGAGGGGGGCGTGAGACAAGCTTCGTAGGACCTTCAAGGGTCAGGCCAATTCCGAAAATCGAGACGATAGAAAACAGGTGAAACTCAAAGAAGAAGACAACAGATGGAGTCGCGATACCCAGCATAGGCGCATGCATTGGATCACCATTGCGGAGACGGAAATCATGGCTCCAGCAGAAAACCCTAAACCATCAATCCCTCAATCAAAAACTTCTCTTTGTTTGGTGCATATCTTCTTTGTTCGAGAGCTTGATGAAGATGTGCCTTGGATCTAACAGAGTGATCGAAAGCTTGGTACGCCAGTTCTTTCGAGCGAACTCCCGAACTACTGTCCTCATCCTTAGAAAGGGTTTTGCTGGAACTCTATTCTTTTTCAGATTTGACTTTGAGAAGATAACTTTCTTTCCTTAGAAACTCCCACAATTCACTACAATCTATTCCCACCCTTTGACTCCTCCCTACTCCCTTACTAACTAAACAAAATCCCCAAGCTCAGGTCACCTAGCTGAGAAAGGAAAGGCTGAGGCTAAACTAAATTACTTACTTTCTTGCCGAGCTAAACGAGTAAGGAGCACACCGAGCAAGAGATCTAGACAGTTAGACAGAAAGTTTGTCAGGGGCGAGCACTGAGCGACGGAAGCAAAGAAAGAAAGAAAGAAAGAATCAAGCTAGGGAACACTCCAGATTGACTAAAGGCCTCTTTAATTAAGGGCTTCTAATGCTTTGGTTGTAGGCAGGCTAGGTCCAACCCTTTGTTGTTCTCCTCTGAAGAGAAAAAAAGGAGCTAACTCTTTCTTGCTTGAAAGAAGGAAGACATGCCTCTCCTTTACAGTCTCATAGCTTCTCTCCTTCACAACCTGATTGAACTCGAAACTAAAGCAATTATGATCACAAGATAGCTTTTAATCTACGTTCTGGCTTCTCTCTCTTTCACTCGGGTTTCACTATTCTTTCATGAGGTAAACTTCCCTATACAAAGAAGATTCTCGTAACCCTCCATTGGACTGATTGAACGAGGTAAATAGGTTCAGGATAATTCATCTTGTTGAGTTTTGTCTTGAGTTGAGTCATTCAAGTAGAATTAAAGGAAAGAAAGGATCAGAGAAAGAAGTCGAGGTTCAAGAGAGAAGCTGCTTTACCGACTGTAAAGGTGAAAGAGTGAAATCAGTCTAATTCATCTTGCTTCTTCTTCTTTTCTTACTGTGAAAGAAGGGACAGGGAATAGAATTGTGAAACCTAGTTGGAGAGGTTCAGGGGAAGGATCATTAATCGAGAGGTTATTCTTTCCTTACTTTTCAGGATCATTAATAAGTAGGTTCAAGAATAAATGGGTTCCGGTTCTGGAGCTTGACCTGATTCTCATCCTGCCTCATTACCTAAGGTTGACAAAACTTTACAGTCGTAAAGTATCAAGAAAATCATTATTGGTCCTTAAGAGTGAAAGAAGAATCCTACTACAGTTTACCTCCTGAAATAAGGGAAGGGAATAGAGGTTCCGGGGAAGGTTAAGTCGCTTCTCTTTCTTCTCATCATGCTGAATTACCTAAGGTTGACGAAACTTTACAGTTATATAGAGCATCAACTTGAATTAATGGAACCCGTTTTTGTTAGTGAAAAAGCTATGACGAAACTTGACAGTTAAGAATAGCTCCGGCGAATGAGTGAGCGAAGCAATGAGACCTTACAGACAAAGGTTTCCCAAGTGTTTCCAGAATAGTCTTTGTTTATTGTTCAATCAGGGAAGGGAATAGAGCTTCAGGATTGAATTTCCTCTCATGTTTTTGTTCCGGTCAAGTAATATCATAAGCCGGGTTCTCTTTTTGAAAGTCCCACGTAAGAACCTAAATCAAGAGGGTCA